TACAGTATTGATAGTATGGCTGTCAATCATTCATACGCTTTTACAGCTGCTGCAGGAACTGACATTGCTCACCAAAAGACTTTGTTAGCATCTAAAGCATTAGCAATGACAGCTATTGATTTGTATTGCAGTGAAGAACTTAGAAAACAAGTTAAAGATGAATTTATAAAAATGCATCAGTAAAGGCTAGTATAGGATGTGACTTGTCATGAGGAACTTGATGACAAGATGATTTTATAATTGTGCATCAAAATAATACATAAACATTTTGTCCAAATAAGTTGAATCAAGATAATTTGAACATGAATAATAATTATTTTCAAGTATCGTACTAATCTGCAAAAACCAGGCGAGGCTGACAGTTTAAGGTAGAATAAAATGAAAGATAATCCGAATAATCTCATTTTGACTGATATTCAATCGAAAATGGATGGACAAGATGGAATCAAAACGCTATATTTCGATTTAATTACTAAATCATCATCAGGCGAAAACTGAATAATAGAGCTGAGTAATGTATACTAATCTGCATTTGGAACAATTATATTCTTGAAACATATGCTTTGTTCATTAATAAAATAAATTATTTGTTACTAATTCTCATTGGATGTGCTCCTCTAATTCTTGAACAATTTGGTCCCTCAACCAACCATGAACTACGATAGGAAGGGGGAGGGGTACAATTGTTTCAGGGGAACATTCATAGGTGGCAGTTTGTTTTGTTGTATTCATATTTGATGGGAAGGGTTTATATTTTTTAACTTTTCATTATCTCGACACTGTCCCAATGATTTGATACAAATAGTCCATATGTTAAAGGTTGCTTACAGTCTGTTTTGTTCACACAGGACCTTTATCATGTTGTTATCCACGAATACTCTTACCATTTGCAGATAGCGGAATGGGAGCATGTTCTATTATATTTTTGAAAATCACCTGAAAAAATGCAGCAATATTCGTCCGGGTGAACTTTCCAAATTTTATTTAAATGTCCCGAAATATTGGGATTCCTGTTCTTTTGCGGACACGTCATCGAATCGAAGTCAAAATGGCGGATGTTACGAACTTGAAGAGGATTGCTTGTAAAGCGATTGATAAACACGCTGACGAACTAAAAGAGATCAACAGAAAAATATGGGAAAACCCAGAACTTTTTTTCGAAGAAAAACTAGCCCATCAAATCCTCACAGATTATCTCGACAAGCAAAACTTTGAGGTGAGCAGACATTGCACCATGGAGACGGCGTTTCGTGCATCAAGTGGTGGCGAACAAGGACCGTGTATTGGGGTGATTAGTGAGTATGATGCACTTCCAGAGGTTGGCCATGCTTGCGGACATAATCTGATAGCTGAATCCGGTGTGGCTGCTGGATTAGGTAAAGATTGACATTGATTAAATTTTGATTGAAGTAAATTATTGATTAATAAAAGTTATCGATTAAGTCTTCTCATTCACGTTTAATCGTGTTCACAGGAATCAAAGCAGCTTTAGAGGCAACAAATAACAGCCTTGGTAAAGTTGTTGTACTTGGAACTCCAGCTGAAGAAGGAGGAGGTGGAAAGGTCATAATGAATGAGAAAGGCTGCTTTAAAGATATTGACTTCTGTATGATGGTTCATCCTACACCAGTAGACTCCACAATGCCATTCGTATTGGCACGTGACACAGTCGTTGCAACTTTCAAAGGGGAATCATCACATGCAGCAGCATTTCCCTGGGAAGGTGTTAATGCACTTGATGCTGCTGTGGCAGCATACAGTAGTATCAGCATGCT